GACGCCACATCAGCCTCGGCCTGCGGAACAAAACGATCGTCGTTGGTCGGAGCGACAAGACTCGCAACGACGAGAGAGATTTCGATGTAAAGCTTTCGTGACTGCAGGGAGATTCATCTTCTTGGTTCTTTCGGTAAAGTCAGTAAAAGGAATAATAAAATAATAAAAATAAAACATTATAAATAATTCTCACGTTTCGGCCGGCTGCTTGCGTTGTGGCCGAAACGTCGTGAGCATTATTTTATGTTTTATTTTTTATTTATTTTCCCTTCTAGTGACTTCACCAAGAACCAAGAAAACGAGAGAGATGGTCGAGCACAAATTCCAGTTAAGACGTCAATTTATCCCAGGGCCATAGCCGACTTTGTTTGAAATGAGCCAGTCACATGAGGCATCATCATCACGATCCAGGGGCAGATCACCCGTTGGTGTCCACTGCACGTTTCGTCTTTTGCTAATATATGCTCAAGCCGTGGCACATCTTTCTGGCACCAACCTCTTATGTCATCGTAAAGACATTCTCCACGAGGTCTTCCTCGCTTGCCGGTTCCTTCCATTTTTACCCGAACACACTTTTAATCTTCCTGTTGTTGATAATTGTTTTTTACCCTTCTATCTGGCAACAAAACTGACACCTTTTTACAAGGAGTCATGTTTGCATAGACCACAATACCTGCAGTCATAATGCAAACAAAAAACATAACTCTGATAATGTGCACTGTCCTATCAGAGTTGTGTTTTTTGCTTGCATTATGACTGCAGGTATTGTGGTCTTTGCAAACATGACTCCTTGTAAAAAGGTGTCAGTTATGTTGCCAGATAGAAGGGTAAAAAAAAACAATTATCATATTTTTACTGGCAAATGAGGTTCCCATGGTGCTTCCTGTTGTTGTCCATCCTACATGTGTCCATGCAGTGTCAGTTTCCTTCTCATCACTGCCTGCATCTCTTCCATGTACAACCATGAGGCATAGCACTTTGAAATGATCCTCATCTTCCACTGCGTGCATCTTAGCCACACTAATTGGGTAACGGGGAATAAATTGCGACAATTAATTGTGGCAATTCATTGAATTGTGTAACAGTGGGAGAGCCAGGGGATGTAAAATAAATAATCACACAACTCATACTGATGAATTCGCACATGGCAAGACAACCGAATACATATTAGGGTGTTAAGATGTAAAAAAAAATTGCCAGAAAGGGTAAAAACCTATTCTTATATTTTGATACTGGCAAGTGAGATCCCATGCAGTATTTGTGACCGCGCGATTGTAAGCTCGCAAACTGCGTGATGTATATACTGTATATTTCATTCACATTGGCATCCACGATGAACATCGTTCAGTGAGACTGAAGGGTAAAGAAAAATAAACTACCCACAGTAGGGGAACACAATACAAGTCAACATATTAACTAACAAAATAACTAACCTTGTTTGTCTAAATACCCCTAATAATACTAATATAATTCCTCTGCCAGTTGTTACCTGCTTCCACAGGCAAGTGTGGCGATTAGTGCAAACCTCAGCCCCCCCCTCACCCCCCATGCTTTACACAAAAGTGTGTGTGAAGCAACGTCATCATTCTCTGTCTTCTAAAAATCACACCACGCTTTAAAGCTTTCGTGACTGCAGGGATTCATCTTCTTGGTTCTTTCGGTAAAGTCACGTAGAAGGGAAGTAATACAATTATAAAAATAAAACATAATAAAATAATTCTCACGACGTTTCGGCCACAACGCAAGCAGCCGTCCTCAGGTGAAAACCAGACGCTGTTTCCCCGACAGACCTGGTCTTCACCTGAGGACGGCTGCTTGCGTTGTGGCCGAAACGTCGTGAGAATTATTTTATTATGTTTTTTTTATTATTTTATTACTTCCCTTCTACGTGACTTTACCGAAAAAAAAAGATCACACCACGCATTATTAAAAAAAATAACCATACTTAAAGTAAATTACTGAACATAACCACGGGTATCGTATTCCTCCTCTTCTGATTGTGCACGTAATGCCTAAATCTAAAGCCACTGTTAAAATAATTCCTCTCCCATGCCATGTCGGCCGTAAGGGTTCTTTGAATATAAACGGTGCTGGACTTTAAACACTGGTGTGGGTAATTGGTGCTGGGGGGGGGAGGTTTAGATGCAGACCTAAAATTACACAATGGATCTTGCTGTTCTGCACTATGCTGCCTACATACAACGCAGTCTATCTAGGCCAGGGGTCGGCAACCAAAATAACAAGAAGAGCCATTTCTTTCCAATTCGGTACAAAATTCAGTATTTCAAGAGCCGCAATGCATCTGAGTACATACGTACTCATCGTCAAGAAGCAGCCCGTAAAGAGCCGCATGCGGCTCCAGAGCCGTAGGTTGCCGACCCCTGGTCTAGGCTCAACGCTGCTCCGCTTCTGAGAAAGGGCACATTCTGGGTGATACGGCCAAAGGCCAAGGTACTGTCACCATTACATGGCACTGTAGGAAATTATCAGCAAATAAATCAGTACGTTACTGAAAGCCTAGTCACCAATAACCATACATTTTACCCTCAAGTGTGAGGTCAAAACTATGCCATTATCCGCACCGCATTCTTTCGACACCAATCACTTACTGAAACAAAACCCTACAACATCTGCTGTATCATGAGGCCTCCTTTGCCAGCAGCAAAATATACTAATAGGGCTTTTCCCCTTTTTTTTCTGGCAACAAAACTGACACCTTTTGCAAGGAATCATGTCAACATTAACCACAATACTTGCAGTCAAATGCAGACAAAAAAACAATACTCTGATAATTTATGCATTGTCCTTGAAACTGATTGGTCCACACCAGAGACAGCTTTGCTTAGAGCCTAGTCTCATATGTGTTCGACCAGATGACGCCAAAAAGGTGTCAGTTTTGTTGCCAGAAAAAAGGGGAAAACCCCTATTAGTATTAACATCTGCTTTGCCACACCCAATGACTCAGAAATGCAATTAAGCCTTGTGAACATGCAATAACCGAAGTGCCAGTGTGTGTGTGGAATGAAAACAATGTTCAACTGGAGAGATGCATGCCAAGTCTATCTTGTGAAATTAAAGGCTCATCGGCAGATGCACTGGAGTGAATTATTACACTGAACTGACAGCGTGAGACAGAGAGGAAGACCACATTTTTTGGCACGAAGTTTTGAAAGTGCATTTTTGACATCTTTGTCAAAAACTAAATGTTAGCCCACCCTCCTCATCTCTGAAATGTAACCAACAATACTTGCAATACAGGTATTGCTGCCGTCTACAGCAACTTCCTTAAGGGAAATGCTGCCAAAGCCAGCACGGTTGGCTACGTACGGTGCGATAGAAGTTCGACACGCACAGATACGAAGAACCGAGTTATGGAGCCCTTTGTTAATAAACGCACGGCGCAATGTTTGAAATACTGCGAAACGTAAACAAAGAGTCACTTTAAAAAAGCGGTGGCGTTTATTTGAAATTTACACCACTGGTGGTAAAGAGTTATCGGTAAATCGCAAAATTGCAGCGTCTTTTGTGGTTTTTTTTATTTGCAGCATCTGCTTGTGACAAATCGCCTGGAATGCACCCGATCTGGTCGCACCTCGGCGTTTGAAGGGTTGAGTATTCGGATAGGCGACCACCACACCTCACACACAAGTGATTTCGGGCAGCAGGGGCAGTGGGGTAAAATCAATTGTGCTAGATTTGAAGCTTTCGTGACTGCAATGATTCATATTCTTAGGTTTTTTCGGTAAAGTCACGTAGGTAAAAACATAAAAAAGTAAATAAAATAAAAAAAAAATACATTTTTTTATTTTATTTTTTTTTTACTTTTTCATGTTTTTACCTACGTAAAAATAAAATAAAAATTTTTTTTTTTTTATTTTTATTTTACTTTTAATGTTTTTACCTACGTGACTTTACCGAAAAAACCTAAGAATATCAATTGTGCTGTAATTTTGGCCACATCTATGAGCCTCCTCATATTCAAACTCCCACTGACCACGACCTGCATCGTATGGGGGGCTCATCTAGCCGTGGATTGACAAAAGGACTTTACACGTACAATATGCAGCATCTACGTTAGGCCATGCTGTTGCACCTTGATATAAAAGCAGACATCGTCTTATTACAGTATCTACCGCAGCTAAAAATGGTCTTAACCGTAGAATAATCAAATGGTGTCAAAAGTTAAATCCTGGTCATGTATTGACCCTTCAGCCGTTTTGTTAATCGATAGCTGGATAAGGCCTCCCCATGCAGTATAGATACAGTAGAAAATGAAGATTATACAATAGTAAAACAAGCCATTAAAAACCTCGGCTATGCACTAATTAAGAGTATTTTTTGCATTGTAGTTTTTTCATTGAGTTTGTAAAATTCGCAACAAGAAAAAACGATGTTCATTTCCTTAGCATTAGAGTTAGACCTTTAAGAAATAGCAAGAATAGCCTACAGGAAAAAAATAATCTAAATTCAATAAATAATGCCAAATACAGAGGCCCGGGCCTAGAAGCCTGCGTTGCCACGCCGCTCTCCTAGAAGCCTCTACCGCTTGGGGCGCGCCACACCCGGCAGGGCTGCAGATTGGCTGCAGGGGTGTGCGCTGGTCCCATCACGGACCCTTAACGTGGCAAAGGTGACGTACACACCTCCTAATTGCAGTGGCGTGCACCAAATTAGACTGCCAACTTTTTTTTTAGTGTTAATTACATGTTTTCCACCAAGTTGGAAATTATAGCGTTTGGAAATTATTATAAGTCCCACTTCGTGTGGTGACACAATGTCAGGATTTCAGTTCAGTATATTAAGACGGGTTCAGTGGTTACTTTAAGATGCATTAACCTTTACAATCTACCGCTTCACGGTGACAAATAATACCAATCGCGTCGTAATGTCACAAAGTGAGGTGAATTTACTGCAGAAAGGGGGATCAGGTAACGAGCGAATGGCCACTGGATGTACTCTCCCTCGCCACAGTAACGTGGAAATCTCGCCGTTTGCATCGCGTAAGCAAGAACTCTTGGTC